AAGGTAAAATTCACAAGTATAGACATTATCTATTATTGTTATGTTATCATTGTGCGCACACATACACTACCCATTTGACAAAACCATTACTACTAGTGTACAATAATCTACTAATCTCAAAGGTATCTTTCTCATAGATACCCGAGAGAGTCATTAAATCCAAGATAAACTCATTAGTCTCTAACTGAACATCTTTATCTCAGGAATAGAACAAATAATAATAATAATAATAATAAGATTACATTATTCTCATGTTACAGGAGAAATGGACACTCTCCTGCAAATACAGTGAAAGGATGAGGTTCACCAATCTTTTTTTTTCTTTCCTTATTTCACTTTCTCTCTCCTTTTCATTGTGTCTATAGGAGTGTCTCCTCCTCTTATAACATAATAATAATATAATCCATAATAATAATAACTTGAAAATAAATAAAAAGGCTTAGTTTCCGGAGTATATTCTTTGCTCTTCCACAATAATGAGAGCATATCAGCATGAGTTTATTTGGACTTCCATGTGAAGTTTTTGTTTGGAGACAACCCATACAAAACATGTCTGTCAAATATATCAAATTAAATGATATTCTGAAAAGAAAAAAAAGTTTTTGGAAAAATAAAGAAATTTTTGATATTTGAGAGTGTAGTGTTAGGTGTTATATTTCAGTAAATGAACGTAAGAGAGAAAAAAAAAAGGAAGAATAAAATATTTTTGGGTTATCAACAAAAATAATTATGTTGCCCATTTTAATTCCTTAGAAATAAAATATATTTGTGGTTTATCTGAAATTTAAAATAGATTCAGTTAATTGAAATTGTGATCCATCTGAAATTTAAAGAAGACTTATGTTAATTCTTCAAAAGGACTAGCATGAATCTATTTAAAGTTTAAAAAAATCACGAGTCAATTTTTTTTTTAATTAAATTAGATTTAGTAATATTTGTTGAGGATACTTTACTTAAAAAGAACAACGATTTCGAAAAATGAATTATGTTCCTATTAAGGAAAGACTAGAGAATATAGATAAAGGGAGAAAACCTCCGGCAAAAATAGAAACAAAAATCTATTAAAAGATAGTTATTGCCTGCTTATCCATGCTTGGAGTGTTACAATTAAAAGAAACAGAATACATTATATAATATCAATGTTATTAAATTCGGCCCGGTTATTGATCCAGTCGAGTTACTGAGTCACTGATTCAATCAGTGAGTCACTAGTTCAATCGCATGACCTAGTAAGTATATGTAAATTTATAATTTATATTAAATAAACTATAAATATATTTAAATACTTGGAAAAATGATACAAATTTCAAATATTTTAATATGAAAAATAATAAATGACATATAATTTTCTAACAAAAAATCAATCAAACATATAATATTTGTGATACTGGTGCTTCAGGTTCAGTAAACGATTTCTCTAACTATAAATCAAATCAAAATTCCATGCATATTACATAACCAAGATAATATTAGTATTGTAGGTACATAATCTATGTAAGTTAATAAGCTATAAATGTTTACCAAAAAAAAAAAAAAAAAGCTATAAATAACTTAAATATTTCAAAAGAAAACAAAATAATTGTGTTTGAGAGTGAAAAAAAGGAAGACATCAATTGATAAGAACAAACTAGTTTTGTTTTGTTTTTTTACAGACCAGGCCGGGTCATCGGTTTTTTACGAAAATCAGTCGAGTCGCGCCGGGTCACACTGATTCTCTAACATGGTTGATCCAATATGAAAATCGGACCGATTACATGCTGATTTTCGGGCCGACTCTGCCGGGTAGATCCAATTTTTATAATATTTTATAATACTCTTTCCACTTATTTTTGCAGGATTCTTAAACTATCCCAATAAATAAAAATGGATCCTCTTATATTTAAAAAAAATGATACGATTATGTGGGACAATCATAACCATATAAAAGTAAATCAACGGTTATGATTTAGTAATTATCTATTTTAATATATATTTTTTTCTTCTTTTATCACTATTGATATACTTTTATATGATTATGATTACCCACATAATCATATCATATCTTTTTCAACATAAGAAAATCTACCCCCACAGCAAATGCATGCTTATACCTCAACTTCTTTCAAGCTTTAGCTTTATTTTCGTTTTCTTTTTTCAGTGTAGTTTTGAATTGGGTGGGGGCATATATATATATATATATATATATATATATATATATATATGGTAAACGATTTTTCTCGTCAATAAAATAAGTTATCTTCAGTGAGTCAAAAATGATATCATTTTGGGACAAAAATTAAGGTATTTTTGTAATTATAATATATTGCAGGGTTATATTAATCTTTATTATTATATTTTTAATCTTAAAATCCAAAACGATATCATTTTGAGCTCACTAGAGATAACTTTATCTTCAGTAACTGAAGAAATACTTTTCCTATATATATGTATAATATTTTTGTGAGGAAATTTCTATCTTAAGTGAGTTTTTGTGAAGTTAGAACTACGTCTATATCCCTCCAGAAATAGAAATGAATGAACTATATTATTGTAATGCTCAAAGTAATAGTGATATAAACAAAGAGTTATATTTATCTACTTTTACATAAGATAACTACATTTTCTACACACACACAAGCTAGGTGGGTCCCATTTCTTTTTTTTTCTCTCTCCTCTTACTTATGGGTCCCACTTACAATCTTGTTTCTACAACATAAGATAAGCATTTTCCTACAACATAAGAAAATTATTTCCCATAAACAAAAACTAACAACTCATACAAATGATAATATACCAGATACCAAGAGGATATATATAAGGGAAAACTATTTCTCCAATTACTAGAGATAAAGTTATTTCTGGTGAGCACAAAACGATGTCATTTTCGGGTTATAAGATTAAAAAATTATAATCAAAAAGACTAATATGACCCTGCAATATATTATAATTACAAAAATACCTTGATTTTCACCTCAAAACGACATCATTTTGTGCTCACCAGAGATAATTTATTTTCATTGATTAAAGAAATCATTTACCCTATATATGAATGAGGAATATTCCCTAATAATAACGGAGTGATAAGAGCCAGCTCAAATATATTAAACTGTAAGGGGGTGTTTGGTAAGAGATTTATTTTGAGATTGATGGGAAAGTGTGAGTGGGTATCAAGTATTAACATGTTTGGTATAAGTTTTTCAAAAATTACCCCAGTAAACTAAGATGCATAGGAAAGGTTAGTTGTGTGAAAATTTTGATGAAAATCACTATTTCAAAATACCACTTTGAATGTGGTATTTTGTGATGGATGAGAAAGTGAAAAGTTGAACTCCAATCTTTTGACAAAAATGACCCTCCATGGTGGCACCAAATTTGACAAAAAAAAAATTATAAGGGTTATTTTGGTAATTGCAACTCATTTTCTCATCAATATTTTAACTCAAATTAAACATAGACTTTATAATATTTTCCAAATTTTCCCGATAATTTTTTTTTCCAACCAAACAACTTTTTTTACATTTTCCTACCAAACTCACTTTCCAACCATTTCCCTAGTAATTATATTTTTCTATTATTTGAAAAATTTCTCTTCAACCAAACATCCCCTAAAGGTCGATCCAGAACATTGATTACCTAACCTACTTTAGGATATTAGTTTCACGCTTAGTGCTGGAGGATACTCAGAGAAAAAAAAATGAAAAACATTAGTTTACAAGTTTTTCATAAAAAAGTAGTGTCAAATATTGTAAAATATGTAGACAAAGCATTACTAGAATAACGATATTGAAAAATTGTTGGGTAGATAGGTAAATGAAAGAGCCGTAGTGACATAAGAATTTGACAACGGATAAAAGAAAAAGATTGTAGCAAAAAGACGACTTGTAACATAACCCTCTGCTTCATGTATATACACGTTAATCATCAAATACAAGACTGAGTATAAAATTACCCAGTAAGATGCCGATCCTTGCAGAGGAAATTTTTTTTTTTATCCGAGAATTATGATTTCCAGGAATATGATGAGAAAATGAGTTTTCTGGAAATGTTATCAAAAAGTTGTTTGGTATACTAACATATTCCTGGGAATATTGTGTTAATTTGCTTGATACTATGTTTAGTTGTATTAAATTTTTTCTTTTCATAGAAATCTTAGAATACCACCTTTTGAATGGTATTCCTGGATGATTTTTTTAAAAAAATTTACACACAAAATAAAATCCGGAAAAAATCAAATTTCCGGAAAAATTTTAAAAAACTTGTACCAAACTTAGATAAATAAGATTACCAGTTACAATTTTCGAGGAATCCTAACAAATTCCGCAAACGGCCCATAATATTCTATCCTCTCTCATATATACCTTTTTACACGTCCAAGAACCTCAAAACATTAAATATTCGCCACCACACAGAAACACCCGCTATATAAGGACATTTTGGTGATACACAATATTTATCAAGGCACCTAACTCCTTAACACTTTTTTTGACCAAAATATGCAATCACTCGCTTTAAACAAGAAGGTACAATGCACATACCCCCTCTTGAATAACACAACCAGCCATTTCCCCATCTGCTCCCCTTAACAACTCTAACTCCTTCGAAAATCCAAGAATCAAAGAAAAAAGTTGAAATTCTAAAACACAGGCAACCAAAAAACAAATAAACAAACATGAAAATATGGAGCAGGATATTCTTACACCAGTGTAAGAGTTAGAAGTCTTACACTCAATCTTGAGCATTGATCCACTTGTATCATATTACTAAAAAATTAAAGCCCTTAGATATAAGTGGAATCAATGGTCAAGATTGAGAGTGTAACTTACACTGGTGTAAAATGATCCTGACCCTGAAAATATATATGGAAGTAAATAAGTAATGTTTCCGAGGCTATTTTATCTACGTATCAAAGTACGTAGGATTTATATTTCTTTTTTACTATATAATCTAACATGAATCCCGTATAATTTTATAACAATACAAGAAACATTAATTGCAATGTATATACACCGTAAAATGGGAGTCGGAACAATATGGGTTCTTTTCTTATCATTTTTCACAAATTGAAAGTTCATAATGACTGATATACATGGCACAATCATATATTAATTTTGATTTTGAAAGAGGTGAAAGTAATGCTAATCTCCCCCCCGGGGACAAGAAGAGGAGGGACTCCATGGTGTCATGTCCATAGGGTAACTCCCCAACACTCGTAAGAAAGAGGTGAATTCTTGAACCTCCGCAAGAGCGTTTTGTGCCCTGACCTCAGCCATAGAAGCCTCAAAATCAATATAAAACATGTACTCAAAGTGCTTCGCGGTTCCCTCACTCTCATCATCAACAACGCGAATCGGACGGCTACGATGAGGCCTGGACTCGATCTTGGTCAAGCTGATGTTCCTAAAAGCAAACGCTGAAAGCACTTTAAACAATACGGAAGTTCCCTTATCGTGTGCGAACACTATACTCGTCTTGAACGGCCGATCCGTTCGTGGAATTATGGGTTCTCGGGCCAGCATAACGAATCGGGTCACGTTACTCGGGTCATCCTGGATTCCGTCTGCGAGTACCTGCAATCCGTAGAGTTCCGCCGCGCGTGCGCTCGCGATTGCAGCCGTATCGCGGAGGTTGTTTGCGGCCACGAACTCGGCGGCTCCGGCGGTGTCGTCGACGGCCTCGCGCGCCACGCTGAGGCCGAGCTTGGTGAGCGTGTGCTCGCACTGAGCTAGAGCTTGCGGATGCGAGATTACGCGGGTCAAGTACTCTTTTCGGACCCCTGGGAGTGCGAGGAGACAGTGGTGAACCGGAAGCTGAACCTCGCCGACGATGTGGAGGCGGTGCCGGAGGAGGAGGTCATAGTTCCGGTGGATCGAGCCGCCGAGGGAGTTTTCCACCGGAAGAACTGCACGATCGGCGATCCAGAGCTCTACCGCTTGGAACGCCACCTCGAACTGGTCGCACGGGATGGCTTCGCCGTTCGGATACGCCTTGCCGGCGGCGGCCTCCGAGTACGCGCCGGGAACTCCCTGGTACGCCACGCGCAGCTGAGAGCCGTGCATCGGAGCCGGCGAGAGGTCGGAGATGGTCAGTGGCTTAGGCGGAAGTGGTTTGTTGTTGCCGTCGAGTTTTCCGATGGGGACTAGGTTGAGATCCGTTACGGCACCTTTGTGGCCGTTGACGGCGCCGACATGGTCGGCACCACCGCCGTTGTTATCGCCGGCGGGAGAACCTTCCTGCTGCGAAACGACTTTACTGGCCAAGATAGCACAAGAGCTTTGCCAGTCTGTTCTGGTGGATCCGAATCCATGAGAGAAACTCGCGGATTCTAAACCGTAACCACATTTGATGATAATTCGGGTCGGAGTTACCCGAATAACGGTGGGACGCGCCCGGTTAAGATAGTTAAGAGTATTGGAAGAGGGAGGACTGAGGGTCTGCATTATTAAGGGACTTGAGAGTAATTAAGAAGAAAGAATGGGATTGAAATGGGAGTTAAACGTAGTTGGGTACTATTAGGTCTAGCTTAAGCTTGGTGTTCTCTTTGAAGAAGGGAACCTCAAGCTGAGGGAAGAATGGGAGGGGGTTGAAGGGCTTAAATATTAGTTGGAGTTTGCAAGTGGCCTTTGTAATTGGAAGAGTAAAAGGAACATGGCAAGTCTTGAGGGGATGGTGTATGCGTGAAGGGGGTTTGGTCAATCCCACACCTACCCCCCCCTTCTCTTTCTCTTTCTCTTTCTATCCCTTACATCACATGTGGCTATTTATTTATTACATTTATTCTTGGTATTTTTATCACACATTACTTTTAATTACTTTGTCTAATTGAATTACTTTTAATTATTAAAGTTTTAGCCGGAAATTCATGCACGTTTCCACAACAAAATTTTATTTAAATAATACGTTTAGTGATCTTTATTAGTTCATTAGGAAATGCTATAGATCTCCAACTAGTGAACAACCTTCCTGATTTCAGCTGGGGGCCTTTGATTTCTTTGCCAGTTAGTACTCTCGTTAATTTTTATTTTTTTTTGAATATAATTGTTAGTCTGCTTAACAGTCAACTATTTACCAATTGTGTCAGGTTTTTCTTGGCACTCTCGTTAAAATTTAGTGTTAAAAGGAATTCTAGAAAGCATGTGTTTTTTTATTTTTGGGTAGTATTTCATCATCTTAATATATAGAATCTTAAAACCAATATTGGCAAATTTGATTGGGTTTCATTCTTGTTGATTATTAATTTGCCTTTTATTTGAAATTAAATTGTTAATTAAATAACTGTTACAATTGTTTCAAGCATGGTTAAATGATATTCAATAATTTAATGCATGAGTTTGTGAGTTGAGATGATTATGTATATGTATAAAATGATACTAATTATTATTATTGTTGTGGTTTTGTGATTTTTATGATTGAATATTTGAATGCAATTGTGTCAGTTATGGATTGACATTGTTAATGATTATTTTAACTGAACGTTATAATTTTCAGATTTATCATTATTTTGAATTGGCCCCTTTTATTTTGAATAAAGAAAATGGGTTCGTTTTTTCTGCAGCAGATAAGTTATCTGCAATAAGCCCAATACGACGTCGTTTTGGGGCGAAAATCATGGTGTTTTTGTAATTTTAGTTTATTTCAGGGTTATAATAGTTTTTATATTTATAATTTTTTAAGATTTCAATACCAAAACAACGTCGTTTTGAGAATAAATGCAGATAAGTTATCTGCATATTAACTGCAAAAACATTCTTTCTAAAGAAAATACATGCAATGAATTTTTATATTTTTGATATATTCTGAATGTTCATCAAAAGTAAAATTATCTATGCAATGACTTCATGGTGAAAAAAAATTTAAAGGCAAAGACTGAATTTTTTTTCTATAATCTTGTAAAATATGCAAAATAATTTTATGAATAGAACATAAATTTGATAGCCTTTAAAATACGATGGTTTTCGTTTGAATTGACTGTAATACATATAACATTTGAATTGATAGTTTAAGTCTCTACCATTTTTTATGTAATAATTACATGCTTGATGGTTAGCATGAGTCTTAAAATCGCCACGAATAGTGAATTTATTGTTTTACTTTCCAATCGTTATGATGCTTTAATGTAGTGCATTAATTATGCTTTGAATGTGTTTAATGCTCAACTTATATTATGAATAATATTTGTTTCAATTTATTATGAATATTCATTGATCAATAAATATTGTTATTATGGTGTTTTTCCATATTTGAATTGTTTTGTTAATTTCCTATATTCATAATGATCTTAATGCATCCATATGTAATTACATATATTGATACGGAGGAAGCCAATATAATATTTGGTAATACAAAAATTGATTGAAAGCTCCAAAAAAAGCTAACCTATGATTACCAAGGGGGACCAAGTTAGCTATAATAATACCATGTTAAGACTATAAATGATGGTAAGATTGAATATCTTTACCATACTACAAAAGTAGTTTGTGAAAAAATAATTGACTTATTTTTCCTCTGGATTATATTACACTAATATTTACATCGTTGAAAAATATGCCTTAGTAAATCAAAAGAATATTGATTATACTAATTTTATTATTTGGCATTACTGGTTGGACCATCCTGGATCAGATATAATGGAAAAATTATTGAAAATTCGATGATCATGCTTTGAAGAACCAAAAGATTATTTAATTTATTGAATTTTTTTGTGTTGCTTGTTCTAAAGAGAAATTACCACCAGCTAAAGTTGAGATTCAATCTCCTATATTTTTAAAATGCATATAGGGTGAAATATATGGGGTCCATTGACCCATCATGTGGACCTTTCAAATATTATGAATTTAATAGATGCATCTACAAAATAGCCACATGTATGTTTATGATCAACTCACATCTTGACATTTGTGAGATTGTTTACTCAAATGATAATATTAAAAGCACAATTCCTAGATTATATAATAAAGACAAATTGTCTTGATAATGCTGGTGAGTTTAAATCTCAGGCTTTTAATAATTATTATATGTCAACTGAAATCACAGTTGAACAGTATGTTGCTAATGATCATACCTGAAATAGTTTAGCAGATTATTTATTAAATTTCTCCAATTAATAGTTAGATCATGGCATTTGAGAACAAAATTCCCATTTCAGCGTGGGGATATGTTATTCTATATGTAGCATTACCTGTATGCATCATGCCAAAAATTTATTATAAATTCTCTTCATTACAATTGGCTTATGGTCAGAAGCCAAATATCTCTAATCTTATAAAAAAAAATTGTGTGATTTATGTTTCATTACTTCACCATAACGCACGAAGAAAAGACCCTGATGAAAGTTGAAAATATATGTTGGATATGATCCTCTTATAATATCTTGAAATAATGATTGAAGATTCAATTAAATTAATTTTTACTTATTGTTATCAGTCTTTCCAACATGAGGGGAGAGAATAAACAGTTGAAAAAATATATTAATTAAAATGCATTATCATCATTGTTGTTAAAATCTCGATTTATCACTACAATTTTACGCTTTTGCGATTTTTTTTATCAAAACGATTTTAGTAATATTCCAAACATTTTTACTTTTTACGATTTTTTACGATTTTTTTACATTATGATTTTATGTTTTACGATTTTTTAATCCCCTTTCGATTTTACTTAAGATCTCGATTTTAACAACATTGATTATCATTATCTCATATAGATCCTCGCACAAAGAAATTATGTGAAAAATATATTATACATTGACTGCCAGATAGTTTGACTAAATTGATGTCCTAGCAGCACAATCTATAAGTGGAAACGAAACTAAAATATGGAAAAATGATCGGTTCCAAGGATATAAAAATCCTCAAAAAAGGAAAAGGAGAAAATGATTAAGATGGTCATAATATTGAGACAATTGTTAATATTGAAGACATAATTTTTATAAACCTCGAGGGAGGTTCAGGTTCGTGAAAAATAATGAAAATGAAGATATCTCTATTAGTTATTTCGTTAGACGAAAAAAGTTGGAATCGTAAAGATATAGTTGTCGACAATATCTTTGCAAATAATGAAATAGTAAAACAAGATAAGGATCTTGAAGCTAAATTTGTTGATGAATGTAAATAGAAAAATAATTGGCCAAAATATAATGATGCAATTCAAATTTAAAGTTTTCGGAGTTATAATCCAAACACATGAAGTTGTAAAGTCAATGAGGGTACAAATGTGCAAAAATGTAATGAGAAAAAATTAAGTCTTAAGATATAAAATACGACTTGTAGCAAAATATTTTTTGCAAAAGACTTACATATTTTATATAAAATATATTATTTGTGGTGGATACAATCACCTTCAGATATCTTTTTAGTCTGGTAGTACATGAAAAATTGAAATACATCTAATACATGTTATTATAGCCTATTTATATGGCTTATTCGATCGATAGTGAGCTTTATATGAAAACCCTAAAAGGAAATGCTTGAAGCATATAAAAATTACTCGGAAAATTTGTTGAAAAATCTTCAAATATCATTAAATGAATTAAAGAAATAAAGGCATATGTGGTATAATCGCCTTAATATAATATTTATCTGTCAATTGACTTATATAGTGAAGATTTTAAAGATATTTTACATGGATAAAGAACATTCGTTGAGTACCCCAATGGTTGTGAACTTGATTAACATTAATAAAATAGTCATTTAAACCCCATGAAAAATAATGAAAAATTTCTTGGTGCCATATCTTAGTTTAATCGAGACAATCTTATTAGCGTATAATAATGGATGAGTATCCAAGGGGGAGTTATAAAATTATTAAAGTGGATGTTTGACTTTTGAACCTTATATCTTCTCCCCCTAATCTTATATTTTATCTTTCTTATTTGTAAGCCTATTAGCATGATTTAATCATTCTCCGATATGAAAATATTGGAATCATGCAGGATTTTTACTTGAACTATACAAAGGCAGATCCTAAACAAGATTTTGATGGCAAGTGGAAGCATAATTGTTTCATGACGTTCAACAAATTTGTTCAAGAGATAATTTGATAGACATCGCTTAATTAAAGTTTTGAGAAGCTGATATATAAGACTGAGATTCGTAGACTCAGAGACATTAAATGATGTTATCATTAGGGGGAGTAAAATATGTGTTGCACTTTTTTTTTTCTTCATCAAGGTTTTGTCCCATTAGATTTTCCTGATAAGATTTTTAACGAGGCAGCTTGCGATACATATTATTAGAAATGTATACTCTTTTTTCTTCATTAGAATTTTTTCCTAATAAGGTTTTAACGAGGTACATTATTTTAATGGACATCCAAACGGAGTGCTATAAATAATATAATTTTGTGGATGTCTATAACCCCCGAAGATATTATTCCAAAATATGACTCCTAGAAATAAATCAATCTTATCATTTATTATGTATTAACGTGCAATGTATTCAGAGTTGATAAATTGAAGTATGTAAAGCTCAAACGTGCATACATATACAATACAAGGGAAAATTATCTCCGCTCTTTTCTTTTATCTGTTTCTATCTCTATTATTGTTCTAGTTACCTATCTTAATATATAGAAAGGAGAACCAAACTTTGAAAAGTTTGCTGATGTGTCGCTCTCTCTTTTATTCTTAGCTTTGTGTTCACATTTGAAAGAATTTGAAATGTTTCCTCTTTTAGTAATTTTTTTTCATTTTAATAAATTAGTTCAATAATAAATTTTAAAATAATTCAAATTTCAAATTCAAATTATTTGGTGG